AAAACTACTAGTTCAAGTAACTACAAAAGTGTCCTACGAAAGGTATGTCATACCTGTAATACTGAAATTGTTTACAGCTAAGCCTGCAATTCAAGCTTCTCCTACCTTGTCTTTTTAAAACCTTATTAATACTTAACAGCCAATTAGAGCAAGAATAAAAAGAACAACAAACAAAGGGCAAAACCTGAGAAGGATAACAGTTAAACAAAACAAACAGTCAACATAATGGGAGGATGATGCTTACGGCATCAACTATTACAGCAGAAGATTTCTGATATTTTGATCTCCTTCCTTATGTAAGAAGAGGTCTAGCAGATGTAACAGTTAACCAACAAATAAAGAAGCAAAGTTTAGACTGAGTGGGAGATCCTCCATATAAGCATCCCCGTTTCTGCTTAAATGGCACATCATAGAGATAGAACTTCATTCTAACAATAAGACAGAACTTACTTTTCAATCACGGCAAAAGGCTGGGACTAAATAATCAAAAGACTAAACCTAGACTTAACTAGGTAGAGGATTTGCTGGTAGGCCTGAAAAATTCAGTACTATTTACACTGCTGTAAGCAGATGACAGTTATTTTCATATGACTTCAGAGTAAGTTGTTACTACACAATTCTTCTCTCTACTTTGCCATGGGAACAGAATATTTAGAAATAACTGTTTTAAAAGCAGTTTAGATGTTACATATACCAGAGGTCACAGACTTCTGAAGGAAAGAATCACATTTGTATTGGGTAAGCACGGCTATATCATGGGCAGAGGGCCCAGACTAAGAGTGGGAGAACTGTGAAATTCCAGTTGAGAAGTGTAACAGCACAAGGCCTAAAACACAACGGGACGGATTGATGTAAAAATAAGAGGAGAGAGAAATGCAATAGCTTTTACACAAACTGAGGGTCATGGGATGGTTTAGATGGGTTTGATGAGACCAGAGGAAACAAAGGTTTTCTGGCAATCATTTCCTGCCCCTATTCCAGAAGAACTCTACCTGCTTTAGCAACAGCTGATCAATAGCACAAACTGAATAAGTTTAATCTCGAAGGACTGCAGAATTATTGGTTAGGCTCTCAGAAACAACCAATCATTAGTAGTCTGTAGGGCTGCAGGAGCTATAACCTTCAAGCTTTGTTCAGGCTGCTCAGTCTACAGAGCTAGAGAACAAGCACACAAGGGAATCTGGACTGCCTGTCGGTTAGCAAGGACAAGTAACTTCTTAAATGAACTGCTGTGGCCAGACAGGCTGAGCTTCTGTATAAAAACTTTTCACTGAATTAAATTAGCAACGGAGCTAGAAGATCAGCCGGGAGGAACACCACCGGGATACAACTTTACCTTATAGTGTAGGTATGACCACTCATAGGCAACACCTTAGCCTTGACTAAGGGTCCCACCCCCATCAAAATGAATCAGGTTGCTTGAAATAAGATTTTTTAAAAAATCAGGAGTTTGCATGAATACTTAAGTTATGAGCAGGTTAAATACCAGTACAAAATGGTACATAAATAACACCATTGCTACATCAGGCAGTAACGGTGCCCAGTTAAAGTAGATTTATAGAGCAAAACTGTGTGAGGATCTGATGTCACAGTGTATGCACTTCAGGGGGTTTTACTGTGGCTGTTGTCTAGCCTTTTTCCTGTGGACTGACTGCCTTTCAGCAGTTGGAGTGCATGTTCCAGTTTAGTTTCATCTGAAAGGAATCCAGTTTGCACACTCTGAGACCACTCTCTATTGTAAATCAAAGCATGGTAAATAGGAAAAATAGGGAGATTCACTTCAAAAGCACACTCTTGATCTAAACTCAAATTACTAACATAGACATTATGCCAGTGATACCCACAAAAGTACTAGCAATAGAAGGATATTTTTCCTCAATAAGGCTGTGATGCAAAGTAGTAGAAAATGGACAGTAGTGAGTACGTAGTCACTGTGAACATAATGGGGATATATTGTATATGGCCTCATTATGTTTATTCTTAATATCATTTTTTTTCTAGCTTTTTAATGCACTAGATCAAGTCCATTATTAATAAGGAATGCTTTGGATATGAGGATGTATTTTTCTGACTATTCTTAATAGCTTATTATTAATTCACCTTTTGTTGCAGGGCTACATCTTGTCTTATAGTCCATACACGCTCATAAGCTTGTCTTCTTGTCTAGCTATATCAACTAGCAATAGTATCCCTTCCTACAAACCTCTCACATTGCATAGGCACTTCATCAGAAGAGCAGCATTTTTAAAGTACACATTTCAAACCCATCTCAGTACCTACCCTGGTAAGTTAATTTCATTTCTCTTCTGACCATGACGATCAAAAATTTTCACAACGCGATCACCTCTAAAAAGATTAGCATATAGGATAATTCATTTTCTTCATCTGCAAATAATGAGTTCATAAACCTTTTTCCACTTTGAACTTTTATATCACAGTAAGGAAGCTCAAGAGTTTAACATGTTTACATCGATAGGGAATTAATAAATATTTTGCATTGTTTTAGATCTGTTTAACAATGTTTTCTCCCCCCTACTCTCAATGATTTGTATGGGTATGTACATTTGTGATCTTACCCTGTTACAGCAAGGAAATTTCCCAAAGTTTTCTGCCAAGTGAACTGCACAGGCGAACCAGACCAAGATTTTTCTAATAGAGTGAATACTTGCTGGGGGACAAAAAGAAGGGAAATTACATATTTTTAAATTGTAAGCATATAACAATACTACAGCTACTTAACACGCATTAACAACTATCAGTGCTGTGGGGAAAAAAGTTCTGATAACTGAAAAGTGATAATAATGCATCAAAGTACCAGAATTCCACACAAAATTTTTTGGGTGTGTGCTGGAAAAACTGATGTTTCTGATGCCAAGTGCTTGCACTGAGAACTATTGCGACTATATTACAATTGCCATTTTTCCTCTTATAGTGACATATACTAGAATTGAGACATTGCATGGGACTCTCCCCTTCCTGTCCAAAAACCATGATGTTTAGCTCTCTAGGGTCTGTGGAAAAATCAGAGACCAAAAGACATCCTTAGGGCACAGAACACAAAAGGCAATGAAACAGAGGTCAACATCTCTTCTTTTAAAGATATGTAACTATTCTATTCTCTCTCCACTGTACGGTCTTAATTTAAGACCCAAAGCAACCTGACTTTGAAAGAAGATTCTGACTAGGAAAGTTTCTTAACTGTATCTTCCTTTCGCACCACCTGGATAGATTTTTCTGTGAAACACGGCTGGGATGAATCTCACAACTCTGTTTCAGTGTAGTCTCAATTTTTTCTCCTTCCCACAATATCAGATAAACACCAAACGCCTGGAAAGCCTTTGACAAAGAAAAAGTTCCCCGTCGCCTCTATCGGGTGAGCATAAACTCTGTCAATCTTCACGTTCAGTTCGCATTTTACTTACATAAAGTGTAACGAAGTTAGCGAGCACTGCATTTCACAAATAACATCCAACAACGCCGTTTGATTTTTGAATCAGTTTTAATGAAACACTTCATCAACCAACGGTAAAGAAAAACGCTACGGGAGCGCAGGCGAGCTGCAGCCCGT